TGCGGGGGCACAACCAGTCGGCACCAAATCCAGCCAGCGAGTGAAATTTCTGTGTCCCACGTCACACCTGTATAGGGTGTCACGTATTAAACAGGCCACTTATTTTTTTCTCTTCAGGGATTCAACGATTTCAAAGCACGTCAACACCTACGCGTATTACAATATTCAACTTATGGAACATCTGGAGATTCTACAGGATAACAGCTATAGTTCTCTGCATGCATCGACACTTGCCACATTGTTCTTGTCGCCTGGCGCATTGTTTTCAGTTCCATCACGGCAGCAACTATATGGACACTGTCGGTGGCTTTTTTTCCGTGGGCGTCACCATCACGCAATGTTTCGCATATTGTCTAAGTTGATAGCAACGTCCCGCGCATCGTATAACTTGTACTCCCCTGTGAAAGCACATTAGCGCTGGGAACGAATGGACACGGCCGCTGCGGACATGAAACGAGCCGTCCTTTTGTTTCCGTTCCATAACGAGCACATGTGATAACATGAACACGCGCGCGAAGCCTGTAGTCGATGATTATTGATGCTGAGAGAAAGTATCCGGCTGTTCTTCGATGGGCCGAGCAGCTAGAGGAGCAAATACAAACATTAGGCCACGGTCCAGAGTGGTGGCGCGTGCCATCTCGACGAAGGCGAGTACTCCATACGCTTATTTGCCTTTAGAAAACAGTTCTTATCTGGTGGTGTCCGCATTCCCATAAGTCAGCGTTGCGTTCAGTTGCGTGAGCTAGGATCAAAAAGTGTTAGAAACTAGGCTCACATTCTATACCGTTCTGGTTTCGTGTTATCGCTATAATTGCTTCGCCCTTGCGCCGAAACTGATCTTGGGGTAACAAGCCTTCACACAAAGATACAAGAATTTCCAGATATGCCACCTCATATAGTCGTGTATACCTAAATTCAAGGCATTCCTTCATCATATACTTGCAAAACATTGCTGGCGCACTTGTGAAGCAGTATTTCACAATGCTATTCTTCAGAAGCTTGAAATGGCCAGTGGCAGCTGCTACTAAAGCTTTCCTTTCTGTGGTTTCATTGGCTCAAGAAAGGTAATCTTTATCAACACTATAAGCGTAGCGCTGGAAACCTAGTGAAATTGTTATAGGGCATTTCGTGCGTCAAAAAACAAAGGTGTTTCTCTTTGCCTGAAAGTGCCAAACAAGTTTTCAGCTTTTTGGCATTCATGGCTTCTTCGAACGAAAGCAATGACCTTGTTTGTTGAGAGACTAAATTATCAATGACTGTTATCTGTTTATCGTCATTTGTTATTTCGCCTTCGTTTGTTTTCCTTACCTGCGAGCGTGTACTACGGTCGTTCACCCTGTGTCATCAACTATATAGTGAGGTATATCGCAACAAAAACATGAATGGCTTATGTTTTTTGTCTTGGTCTTAAACAATAGATGCACTGGACTAAAGAAAACAGCAGCGAGGAACTGCCAACTGTGGAGAATAATAGACATAAAGTCCTACGTCACATGAGAAATAGTATAAATGAAACGTCTAAAAGAACCTATCGTTCCGCATGGCACTCACAACTAGCCACAGGTGCCGAAGACTCAGAAGTTCTTGCGGTGTTTTTTTTTTTTTTGAACAGTTTTCATAGCCCTCATGCTCCATGGTTTCTTGAGTATAGTTCAATATTCCTATGCTGCGGCAGGGCGACCTTTGAATTCAGGAATATAGCTTTGATTCTGGTATACTGGTGAGCTTTGATTCTGGTACACAAAGGGGCGAATGTAAAAGCATGGGTTACGGAGGTCGCTTTAAATGTGCACTCGCTATCACCATTGTCATCATAATCATCCCTCTTACTACGCCCGCTGCAGGACAAAGACCTTTCCCGTGTTGCACCTATCAACCCAGCACTGTGATTTCTGCTGCCACGTTATACCTGCAAGCTTTTTATATCATCTGCCCATCTAGGTATTTTCTGAACAAGAAAAGTCTATAAACAATTCTATACTTTCGTTTTGTTCCAGAATACTATTTTCACAGCAAGACTTTCTTTCATTGCTAAATTATTCCAAACACCTCGGAGATTTACCGCGTGGTGTTTTAGTAGAGCGCCGAATGTCATCAAACCCATGAGAAGTGCGCTGACATACCAGAAGGTGCGTGGTGTGTGTCTCGTTTATACACTGTCGATGTCGGTGCAACAAGAACCAAAGTAAAGAAAAGCATAACTGGAATACTCTCGCAGAACAGCACACAAAGCTGCGTCTCAAGCTTTTTCATTCTATCTAATATGGTACGATTGTTCTACATAAGGACATCTATATAACGTGAGCTCATTCTTGGTCACAGCGCGTGTACCATGAGCGACAACTAAATGTTCTGCGTTGCGTAGTACTTCTTAAAAATTGATAATTCCCCCAACTGTCCAAGACAGAAATAGGTTGCCTGCTGATGTCAACGTAGTTTCAAATGACGTGTTCTTTGCCCTGCTGAAGTGGCTTGTTTTCTATATTAATTTATGGTATGCATGACCCATGTTTACTAACGACGTCTTTGACACTATTGTAGTATTGTTCCCATCTTTTTTTTATTTTACTTGTTTTATCCCTGACACGTCGTGCAGAATGAAAATTTCGCTACACTCCCAATTCAAATCACGCTGATTCTTTGTAAGGTAACTCAGTTTTCTGGTGCTTTTCGGTATAGCCATAGTATATTGCTCGTATAATTTACGTTGTGAATCTGCTGTAGATTTTGTTGTTGCTACTGTTTTCTTTTATTTTCTCACGCTGTCTGTACCAAAAATGTTGCACTGTTCAAACTGATTGTTAGACCCTCTCTTACTGTAATGCTACTGGTGCTGTGAATAACTAGTAAATAGCATTATTAAGAGCAATATTACTGAAGCTAGCTTAAGTAAGCCAAATGTACAACTTATACGCTCATGAATGAGGCAGTTCATTAGATACACATGATTTATTCATGAGGATGTATTGGACTTGTGTACTTCAAAAGAGTGAAAATAAGTCATGAATTCAATAAGAGCAGCATTTTATCTGTCATCTGAGCAATTTAATGAACAATTTTATGAATTACGTTTATTGCTGCGTTGTTACGTCCTAAAGCCGCGATATATCTATGAGGGGCACCGTATGCAAGGATCGAGAGATTTCAACTATGCAGAGCTTTTAATAGCTCGCAGAAAAGCTCAGCAAACCGCTGCGTCGCCTCCACAAGAAAATGTTGTCACCTCGTCTTGCCATGCAGCCACGCATATTAGTTGCATCTTCACTGCCCAGTTTTCAAACTGCCTAAATGGCTACGTAATGTCTATTGACGTTACTAAAATCACGCAACATTAAAAGAGCCCTTCAACGCATTTTGAGTGTGCGTGGTCAAAAAACGCTGCCCATCAGTATAGTACAGGCTCCCGACACACGCGAGCCAAATAATATAGCGCACGCAACACGCGGCCTCGAATTCACAATAAATTATGAAAGTTAGCTAAAACTTTTTTCTCTTGTCTCAACAAATGACAGAGGACTCTCAGAAATCCCTCGTAAAAAGCCCATCTATCAGCCATTGGCCGATTTGGACATGGCGCGCTCGGTCGTTGCAAAGATCGCTGTGGGAGGCCATGACTTGGCCATGCGTGCGCGCGCTGTCACATTGAAAATCCACCCATTCGAAGAAAAAAAATAAAGAAGTGCTCAAGGTCATGAGGCGCGCGTGACGTATTCTATTTGCCCCTGCTATCCCTTCCTGCTTAGCTTCCGGCGCTTTCGTCGGGACGAGAGGAGTAAGAATGTCATTGCAGCATGCGACAAATCTTTGTAACTCCACTCACTTTGAAGGGACTTTTAAAATTTTTGCGGCTTTGAATTCGTGAGACAATAAGCTCTTCCAGTAAACTCATTCCATGATTACTTCAAAAAGTGTTTCAGGACCCCATCAAGTAACTCAGTATGGGATGGAAACACTTAACATCACCTGACAACTATAAAGTGAAATGGTCTAGCGAAATCATGTAACAACTAATCGAGTGAATTTCTGCCAAAACTCCGTAACTTATCACGGAATATGGTTCCAGCAGAAAACTTGTAAGCTACGTCGAACGCTAGCTCCGCTAAGGTTCCCGCTTCGCGCCACTTCTGCAAGCTGCGTGCGTGTTTTTAAAGTCGATAGACTTTCTTGGGACACTTCAACACGAAAATTTTGGTCAGTGTGGCTGTTTGTGTCGGTCAACCGAATAAATCACCCACGGAAAATTTAACGCTTGGCTCAACCCCTACAAATTTTGATCTGGTGGCGGCGTTCATATTTACGTACATTGTCAATCGAAGACCGAATATTACGCATATGTGAGGCGCAATATCAAAACGTAAGTGTGAGGCAATGTGTCTTTTTATTTACCAAATACATTGACACGTAAGTCCAAACACCGAAATGTTTATTACACTGCACCGGCGATGCTACGCTGTGAACGAAGAAGCGGGTGTTTCCTACGCTTCGCTAAAAACTTCGGGGGCTTTAACTAAAACGACCAGCTGCTGCCACCCACCAGTGGCTCAATCTAGGTTCTGAAAAAAAAATTCATTTCTTCACTATACTGCCATATGGTCCCATATCTCACGAAGCCCCTCGAGACAGGGGACTACCATCTCTCCATGTCCGTTGCCACAGAGTTTGCAGACACGTGGTCAATTTTTTTTTATTTTTTTTTACGCGTGCAATGAAGTAAATGCATGGGCGTCAAGCATTTTTCATCGAAGTACAGTCACCGCGGCAGGGCCACGTGCTAGGAAGTAAGGAGAGGAAGTTAGGACGCCGATTGTTTGTGAATTCGCGTACGGCTTATTAAAGAGCGCCTAATGAATCGTGCGTCAATGAAACAGTGCGTCAATGAAATCGGCCGCCGATATGGCCGCTTGACAGTGGAAGAGACGGCCTTTCTGTTTTTCCTTTCTTTAAATGTAGCGTAAATAGTATTATAAATGGTAGGTCCGTTCCTGTGGGTTACTCGCAAAATCACCGTGTGATATCCTTAAGAGTATACTGTCATGAGAACGCATACAGCAACGTTCCTAGTCTGCATGCTCTGTTTTGCTGTGTAAGTGAAAGGCGTACTTATCTTTATTTTCAATTTTTTGCTATTCTCGGAAAATAGTGCATAGTTTGATATCTCATAGCAATAGTGGTGTGTCACTATGTCGTGCTTTCGATATCGGTGTCTTGTTTGTGGGTTTTAACGTCGGATACGAGAGGCGCCGTAACGGAGAGCACAAATAATTTTGACCTGTTGACACTTGCTTACGAAAATTTCAGAAGCCAACTTCACTGTATTCTTTCGTGTGTGAGGCATTCATCAATTGCATCCCGGCACGGTTGTAAAAAATACAAATAAACAAGCTTGACTGCCAAATGCGTTTTGTCATTTGGGTGAGGAAGTCACTGCGAGGCTATCGAGAGGAATGTTGTGAGAAGTAAAGCTATGGAAGCAAACTCTTTTCAATGTGGTTAAGCGTAACTCTACAAAACATTAGTTGAAGCGATTTACCGCCGGCTGCGGCGGCTGCATTCCCGATGGAGGCGGAAATGTTAGGCCCGTGTGCTCAGATTTGGGTGCACGTTAAAGAACCTTATGTGGTTGAAATTTCTGGAGCCCTCCACTACGGTGTCTCTCATAATCATATGATGATTTTGGGACGTTAACCCCCCCAAATCAATCAATCAATCAAGCCACTCCCGGGAGTAATACCTTTTTCTTGCTGTCTGTCGTCTCGGGGCATAGTGGGCGGTGACACCGGCGCACGTGTACGAGCCGCGTCTCTATGTCTATGGAGACACCGCACGCGTCAGCTCTTACCGTGCACCACGCCCATGCGATCAAAGTTTGCAGTTGCTCTTTGAATAACGCAGCTCTCTTTACCGTCCCTAATCGGAGTCCTCTAATGCTCCTTTCTCGGTGAAAAACATGTGGGACATTTTTTTTTTCCAACTTGTGGAGCTATTCATGGCGGGCCTAGGGCGCGAAGGAATGTTATCGCGTGCATGCTTCGTTTGCTGAAGATAGCCGGCATTTTTCGCATCTGTTTCTGTCGCATTCGTCCCCAGCACTTTCGCGCTTTTTCTAGGACGTAGACCATATGACGTACGGGGCGCTTTTGTAGACTTGGTTTTTTATATAGAGCACGAGCCTTACCACGTCAGCCCACCCAGAAAGTGCATATTGTTACTGCTGCAATAACAAAAGTTTCAGCAATATGCTCACTGTCTTTCCAAAGCGTCACATAAAATATAAAAGATGTATTAGAAACTAAGGTTAATGAGATTTTGTGACCTATATTTTGTAGTGGTGCCATAGCTGTTTACGTCTTATGGTTGGGTAATAGTTACGGCTGAAGACAAATATCAAATCAAATCAAATCAAGTTTTATTATTTCATAATAAGGTGTACAAAAAAGAATATACAGAAGGAGGTCCTTATCACTTCTTATATGACGAAATTTTCTTCTGCAAAGACCGAAGACCAAGATACAGCTATTTTCACACATACTTACACCGTTTCGCAGTTAACAAGAGACTGTTGCGACTAATTAACGAAAATTTATTTCGTAACTTCTAACTATCAACATTAGGGCAGGTGTTCCTATTAATAAGTTCTACGGCATGCCAATCTAATGCATACATATCTTTTCAAAATTGAAATCGATAAACATGCCCGTAGCTCGAGATATTCATCATCGAACGTTACGAGCGAAATGGAAACTATTCGCGGAAGGCGCGCACGAAGCGTTCCAGCTTTGCTACGTTAGACGGGAGCCACCTGTCAGATGAGAGCGACAAACTACAATGACGGGGCGCCACGGCAGTATGTTCTCGTGAAAAGCTGTAAGTCATCTTGCTTAAACTAGCGCATCACCTTGCTTTCTCTTTGCACGTAATGTTTCGTGCTTATATGTTTCTTTACAGAACTGTGCAGAGAAAAACTGGAATAGAAACCTTTAAGCACAAAACTCTGGGGTGGTCACTGCAGTTTTTCTTCAGGCAGACAACCAAAGTAATTTTTCGCGCCTCTTTATGTTTAAGAAAGTAACATATATGCACAACTAATTGCAAGCAAGCAATAAGCTGTCTGCTACAAATTACAAGATTCTTGCCGCTTTTTTTTTTTCTGGCCAGATCTTACTTTTCCGCGCCTTCATTCAGATTTCGCCACTTCTCTGTCCCGTGTCGTGACAGTGTTCTGCCGCGTTTTGCAACAACCGTGGGCGAGCTCTTTTCATTTTGGCCGTCAAGTTGGACGATGAAAATATACGTGCAACTTCTCTGATTAAAAAAATAGGTATCCTATAATTTAGCACCCACTACAACCATAAAATAGAAACACCTGCCCAGAAGTCAATGAGTAAAAAGTTAATTAAGGACTTTTTATTAATTCGTTAAAACAGTGTACATTAAACTGCAGTGAGGTATTTCGGCCTCAGCGAGGAGTTTGTGTGCAAAAACGGCAGGAGCCTTACTGTCGTAGAATTTTCACTAAAAATATGTAGCCTAGGAAAAACTGTAGATATCTCCCACTTCATCGATTCTCAGATTCACCTGGATGATGCTTGTGTCATAATCATATCGAGGTTTTGGGAAGTTAAACCTCACTAACAATTATTATTATTATTTATATTATTAATATTATTATTAATAGTATTATTATTAGGGGGAAGGTAAAGTCTAAGCACTGTTATGTTGGAGGGACATCAACGTTCAAAAGAAAGAAAAAATAAAAGTCAAACTGATCCTGCGTAATAGCATTATGGAATGCCATGTGAGGAACAAGACTGCATGGAAAAGCATGAAGGAACATTTTTCTCGATAGTAATTCAATACTTGCTTTTTACGCTTCCAGTTACTGCTGCGATGCTGGTGCTTTCATGAGTAACAGACCTAGCGTGTGCGAAAACTATGTGAGTATTTTGCAGTCCCTAATTTAATATCTTGCATTTTCACGGCTAGACAGGAACACTTTTATTTATAAAGTCATTCAAGGAACTACTCCAGCATATTGGTGTTTAAGCCACCCGGTCAACGCCGTCTTCACGAACTTGACTCAGATATGCATGTTAGAATACCGCGAACCATGAGAAGCTGCAATACAGGTTGATTGCACCGAATACAAATAGGTGTGGCGCTCACTCGTCTTTGCCCACACTTTATCAGCCGTGCTGACAGTCCGAATTGCGAGGCCTGTGGCACTCTTGAAATAATGGACCATAGCTTATGCGTCTGCCCGCGATATATCACGCGTTGAAATTCGAATTTTGTAAAAGTTCTGTTAGAACCACAACTTCATCATCAGGCCGAAATTTCGATAGCACTGGACAAGCCTTCACGTGAGACAGAACTTGACAAGAGGCTTTAAATTCTTTATGAACTCCAAAGGTTTTTCTTCATTGCCACTTTTCACATCGTCATCATCAAAACTTTCTCTCTCCCTTCTTGATTACTTATCATTAGCTGTTAAAAAAACCACAACTGGTGCGCTTAGTGTAGCGCAGGCCAAACCAGGTATAAAATTTGATGTTAAGGCATATAAACGATGCAAGTGATGATGACTGCGTGAAGCGGTTGGATCGTTTGGTGTTACCCTAAATGAGCTGTGACATTTACCGCTCACGCTTGTAAATCATGGCGCAGTGGTGAATAGTAGTATGCAATGTTTATTGTTCATAACTGGTATGTTGTTTGGAGTTGTGAATTTAATTTGGTCTATACGTTTTCAATATTGTCACGACGCAGACACAGCAGAAGTCTGATATAGAAGACCTCACATTAATTAAATGCAAGGCGCTCGTAAAGACGACCGGGCAAGAACTTTGTCCTTCTTGCTGCGCGAGCTCTTCTCTGCAGGTTGAAGGCAGCATTTTCCTCTCTCCAGGAAGAGCATCGTCGCGGTGCTCTACGCTAAATATGCGGTGTATGTAGTTGACGTATTGTACAACTGGTGCACTGCAATATGGCTTCATCTGCACAACGTGTACGATTTCATATTTTTGCTGGCGAGTTTGCGAGGAACTGTCAGGGATGAACTCATAGTTCACGTCACTTAGGCGCCGTACAACATTGTAGGGACCAAAGTACAAAGTGGACCAAAGTGGAGCGGATAGGGCTCCAGACCCACACTTTCTCGCCTTGTTGATAAGTCACGTATCAGTGTCACAGGTTATAACGTTGTGCGTCATAACTCTGCAGCTGGGCGATTCGCACGCGTGAGAGCTGCCGCGCCTCTTGAGCTCGTTGGGTAAAGGCTTGAGCATCGGTGTCTGTATCGTCGCAGTCGTGGATCAACATGGCATCAAGCATAGTGGTCACTTCACGGCCATAAAGAATACTAAATGGCGAGCTTCGGGTAGTTTCCTGCTGCGCCGTAATATACCCGTAATGATATAGGCGAACGTCACGTAAGGTAGAACGTCGTCCCAATTTTTATGATCCATGTCGATGTGCATACTCAGCATATCGGCAATAGTCTTGTTGAGGCGTTCTGTTAATCCATTGGTTTGTGGGTGATAGGAGGTGGTTTTTTGATGTGCGGTTCCACTGAGCTCAATCACTGACTTAAGGAGCATGGCCATGAAAGCAGTACCTCTGTCCGTCATTATAATCCTAGGAGCACCATGCCTCAGAACGATATTTTCAATGAAAAATCATGCCACTTCTACTGTGGTTCCGCTCGATAATGCCTTTGTTTCTGCGTAGTGAGTAAGATAGTAGTGACAATTACCCACTTGTTTCCAGTGTGCGAAGTTGGATACGGTCCAAGCAGATCCATTCCAATTTGTGCAAAAGGCATGGTGGGCACTTGAACTGGCTGCAACAATCCGGCTGGTTTTAAAGGTGGCGATTTTCGTCATTGACAATCGAGGCAGGTGCAGACGTAACGTTTTACAGTGCCTGGAAGCTTCGGCCAGTAGTACATCTGTTGGATTCTGGCCAATGTGCGCGTATATACGAGGTGACCGGAGGTTGGCTCATCGTGGCAAGCGCTCAGGATCTCATCGCGAATGAATGTCGGAACAACAAGTGGGCACTTCCGCACGAAGAAACGTTCTTCTTATATAGGACACCACTGCGCAAGCAGAATGATGGCAGGCTCCTTGCAAATATCTTGGGAACCCTTGTAGACTGGCCGTTAAGAAAGTTAATAGCAGGAAACAACTCGCTGTCTTCTTTCAGCTTGGACGAAATGGTGACCGTGTCGACTACTCCTAAAATCGCCATGTCATCCTCATCTGGGACATTGTCTAGCTTTATAGGCGACCTGCATAAGTAATCAGCATCGAAGTGCTGCCGTCCCGATTTATAGACGAGCGTCATATCGAATTCTCGAGGCGTAAGCTCCAGCACGCTAGCCGACCAGATGGGTCCTTCAAGTTGGTCAGCCAGCAATGGGAGTGGTGGTCGCTGACTACGTGGAAGGGACGGCCGTAGAGGTATGGGCGAAACTTCATAGCTGCCCATACTACAGCAAGACATTCCTTTTCCGTTGTGGAATAATGACTCGGTACGGGAAAGCGTCCTACTTGCATATGTGATCACTCGCTCGGCTGAGCCTTGCCACTGGACGAGGGCAGCTCCTAAACCTACGTTGCTGGCATCGGTGTGGATCATGGTAGGAGCGTCCTCGTCAATGTGAGCAAGCACAGGTGATGTCTGCAGGCGCTGTCGTAGATCTTCGAATGCTGCTTGTTCCTCTTCGCCCCATAAAAATGGCACATCGTTTCTCGTTATGCGTGTTAAGGGCGACGCTATGTGCGAGAAAACGGCGATAAATCTGCGGTAGGCGCAGAGGCCAAGAAAACGTCTCACGGCCCTCTTATCTGTTGGCACCGGAAATTTGCGGACGGCATCAATCTTGTCGGGGTCCGGACGAACGCCTTCATGGCTCACCACATGTCCTTAGAATGGGAGCTCCATGAAACTAAAATGACATTTTTCAGGTTTCAGCGTTAGGCCGGTGGGCTGTATTGCATGAAATACTAATAGCAGCCGTCTTAGATGTTCCTCGAATGTTTCTGAGAAAACAATGACGTTGTCGATGTATACCAGACACGTCTGCCACTTAAGGCCTGATAGGACGGTATCCACCAGTCTCTGAAACGTTGCTGGGGCTGAGCACAATCCGTAGGACAAGACTTTAAACTTGTAAAGCCCGTCAGGCGTAACAAAAGCAGTCTTTTCTCTGTCTCGCTCATTGACCTCAATTTGCCAATATCCGCTTTTCAGGTCCATCGACGAGAAGAAGCGTGCATGCCTCAGCCTGTCAAGCAAATCGTCAATACGCGGTAATGGGTGTACGTCTTTCTTTGTCACGCGGTTCAGCTTGCGGTAGTCCACACAGAAGCGTTAGCTGCCGTCTTTCTTCTTAACCAGCACTACCGGTGACGCCCAAGGGCTTTTTGGCGGCTGAATGATGTCATCATTGAGCATTCTCTGCACTTGTTCTTGGATTGATTTGCGTTCTTTTGGCGCCATGCGGTACGGGTTTTGTCGAATTGGTCTTGCCGTCTCTTCCGTTATAATTCGGTGCTTTGTCAGTGGCGTTTCATTAACCCTCGAGGTCGATGAAAAACAATCTTCGAACTGTCCGAGAACATCTAGAAGACTCTGCCTCTGCGCTGGCGATAAATCTGTGCTCACGTCGACAGGTGGTGGCGTTGAAGCGGCTGCCGTCTCTGCCTCTTGCACTGCGAAGCACTCGCGGAATTCTACAATTTCTTCTAAGTATGCAACTGTGGTAATCTTGATTGATTGATTTGTGGGGTTTAACGTCCCAAATACTGTGGTAATCTTTGTAGCGTGTCGACGCTCATTGCTGAAGTTCGTCAACAGGACCTCTGCTTGACCGGACACTACACTGACGAGACTTCTGTCAATTGCAATTCCTCGAGAGAGTAAAAACGTCGATACTTGTTCCGCGACACCTTCTTCAGTATGCTGCGTGTTACACGTGACAGAGACGAGGCGGCATGACAACCGTGACATGGTCAAGTCGTATATTACATGCATGGGCTTGCGCTGCAGCGCTACGCTATGGTCCGCTGAGAAGGTCAGTACACCATCCGGTATATTTATGACGGCACCGTACTCCCGCAAGAAAGCCATACCCAAGATGGCCTGTTTACAACACTCAGAACGAATAACGAAGGTTGCGACGAATGATGAATACTCTATCTTGATTTGTGCGGTGCACTTTCTGGTAGGCGTCAGCAGCTGGCCTACAGCTCCTCTAATTTGCGGTCCCGTCCATTCCATTTTCACCTTCTTGAGTTTGTCGGCCAGATTCGTACTCATTATTGAAAAGTCCGCATCTGTGTCGACCAGTGCCGTCACGTCGTGACCGTCAATTCAAAGTGTAATGTCGGCAGCGACAATCTCATCTTTCGTTGATTCATTTGAAATGTGCGGCGCTTCATGCGGCGGTAATGGGAGATGTTCAACTCTTCGGCAATTTGCAACCTTCCCCCTAAGGTCGCTGCTTTTAGTTTCCCCGGCGTGAACTGGGATATCTTCCTCCCACCATGTCCGTGGTGCTACCTCTATTAGATTGTGAAAAATGAACAACAGAGGGTGAGCGTGACCACAACCCAGGAGAAACGTCCCACGGGATCGTCGTGTTCGTATCAACGTTGCGTCTTTCCGTTGAAATAGCGCCTAGGGGTAGTGGACGGAAATCCTTGGTACCCGGCGACGCGATGAGGACATGCCGCACGATGTGGCCCGCTTCCTCACAATGGGGCCTGTAGTCAGGGGTACGCCAGATGTCGGTTTTGCGGAGTGGAGGTCGCATCGGCGTCGACATTTTCCTATAGTACCAAGGCATTGTCGGCGGCTGTTGCTGGTGGTACTGCTGTGGTGGCGGCACGTTAGATGGCTGTCGACGGAGAATATCCGCATAGGTTGACCT